GCATAATTTAATTTTCAAAATAAATTAGATAAAGATTATGATTTAGAATTATTAAATTGTAATAATTTGTGCCAATTTTTTTAGTAACGAGCTACCGCTATAGGTCTTTTTTTAAAAAAAGGTAACGCGCTAAAGTTATCGATACTAAAAAAATATCTATAGAATAATGCGCTATATTAAGTACACTGCATTTTATATATTTCAAGTTCAGAATTGGAACCGAAAAAAGATAAAAAAATTGTTTTATCTTTATTCTCTTTTATTTCTTAAAATTCTATCCAACCAGACATTTTGTTAATATGTTGAGGACGCTTGCTTCTAAAGGCTAAGTTTTCTAACGAGGTTTAGGTTTTGACAGAAAATTTATAAATGTCCTAAATCTTAATTTATACTAAGGGATATTAAGAATAAACGCATAAAATAATGATTATAATTAAATTAATTTTATATGTGAAAGTCAATTTTAATAATATGTAGAATAAATATATAGAATATATATATTGATAAATAACGGATTTCCAAATTTGATAACCATATTCAATTTATATATTATGGAAATTTTATACAAAGACTATCTAAGCCCTAGGCCCGACCATTTACTGCTATTTAATATTATAGTCTTAAGTTCAATTACCTTATATTTGATACTCACATCAAATTTTAATTTTTTAACCCCTCCCTCCTCCTGACTTAATCAAACTCATTATGAGACCAAGAGTGAATACTATTGTTTAGTAAAAAAAATTTTTAATTGCTTCTATTTAATAGTCATGTCAATATTTTGTGTTGATAAAAAATTTCCTGACCCTCCAAGACCTAGAGCCCATTTACAGTTTAATTATTATTACAGTCAAAAGATATTTTAAATACCTTTTATACCAAGTCCTACCTATCATGAACAAATGAAGACGTTCAGTCAAAAGATATTAAAATTAGCTATTATTAGATACTCATATCGATATTTTGTTTTGATAAAAATGTTCCTGACTCCCCAGATCTAGACTCGTCCCTTAAGGGGGAGAGATTGACCTGTAGTTGAATAATCGATCGATTGATACCCTATATTAGACATATCGTATTTCATAAGGCCAAAAATTACAACATTGAAAATTAATAAATAACAATAAAATTAAAAAGAAATAAAACGAAACGAAACGAAACGCGCGTTAAACGCTTTTTAAAATAAGAATCCTCCTTATCACGGTTAAAACTTGATGATACTGTATTATCATTCCACCTTACTAATTTTTTAGTTATCACTTTAAAACCCGGATGATTCCGGATAGTTCTGATCCTTTTAAAAATTACGACATAATTATGAAATTAAATTTATGAATAAAATAAACAATAATCATAAAATAACCCCAAACAACGAAAATATCGGATAGGTTTTTTAACCTGATTCGACGATCTGATATTTAATATAGGCCAGGCGCGTACGCATGAATTTGCTAAGGGGGAGGGGGGGAGGGTAATTAAATTTTTTTTAAGATAAAATTAATGTTATCTAAAAATATCAATCAGATTTGTTAGGACTAATAACTATTTCTAGTACACAATTTTAAATTAAAGTGAATTATAAAAAATTAAATATATAAACCGGCATATAAAAAACTATAAAATAAATGTGAATTATAAAATATTAAGTGGATATAACCAGCATAAGAATCACTATAAAATAAATGACCCAAAATATTTTAAATTTCTTGGGCCTTTAAAATTTATATACAAAGTATAAAAAATTTAAATGTTGGAAAACAAATTTCTTGGGAGAATAATTGTATTTTGTATAAAAAATAAAATTGCACAAAAAATATTACAAGAAGCATATTATATATTTATAATGTAAAATCCAATCTTCGTTAGAATTGAGCTAATTTTTCAATTATCTCACCCGTGCTTGGCTCATGACTATTCAAAAGGGACAAACCATTCAATCTATTTCAGAAGTTTTACTTAGGTATGTTTTTATTCCTCTAAAGAAGAGAATGTTCTCTCATTAGCTGCAGTAATTATGGGAAGAGTTGCTAATATATATATATATAATATACATTGGGAAAATAATCTAAAAGATGTTTGAAGCATTTTTTGAGACTATATAAACTATAGTTAATCTTAGATACCATAGTTGGAATTCAGCTAATAAGGCATCAGATACTTTAACATCTTCGATAAAAATCTGCTAAATATTTTATTTTTTTTCTATCACCATCTGAAAAAGGTTGGGAAGGCTTTTGTAGAAGTAATATCTGCAGATTGTAAGTGCCACCTGATGAATTAAAAACCGTTCATTTATTTGGATTATAAATTTAACTAAGAGAGAGATAAAGACATTTATTTTATATACTCTTCTACTGACCTTATATTAATGTTTGGACGATTAGCTTGCCTTGCTGTCGAGGGAGACAAATATCAAACTTGTATAGCTCTGCTTTTGATTCAACAATAAAATATTATATATGAAATTCTTTATTAACGTTAGCCCTAAATTCCTTGAGTTCTAATAAAATGCTCTCCTCTATTCTCATCGCCTTAATCAAGTCAATATCATTTTTGAAAAGTATTACATAAAATAGTTGTATAATCAAATAATTTATTAATACATTCTAATGAGAAAAAAAAATTTGGTATAAGTATTGAATCCAATAATTTGCTTGCTTCTGAGGAAATATCTCTTTCAGGCCATTGTGATATTTCAATAAGATCATTAATAATTGGCTATTTTAACTCCATAAAAGATGTTACTGCTTGATGGCGATGATTCCATCTTGTTGGACAAGCTTTTTGCAATTTCTTTCTCCTTGTTGGACAAGGAGATTCAGAAATATTCGGTTTAAAATATTTTGTCGCTTGGGGTATTCCATTAATGCTTTAAATTTTATACTATGAAAATTACCTTCATTATCAATTATTGAAATGCTTCCTGAATCCAAATGCCCACGTAATGATAGGCCTTGCAATCCACAATATAGAATGGCCTCAATAGTTAATTTAATCTTACATCTATTTTCTTTTGCTATTTTAATCCTATTTTTGTCCTGATGAAATGGGAATTATATCCCCACTTTGAATCAATTTGAAGAAATCATCAGTCACAGCTTTTGTGATAATTGTCAAAGATTTCTCCAACATCTTTGTACTTGTTGAATGGGATCTTAACAAGACTGTTAAGCTTAACTAAATTTCTTCCAGCATATCTTAGGTCAAACAGGACACATATCTTGCATTAAGCTCCAATGTCTCGGATAGAGTATGCTAGCCATCTAGTAAAATAATGGTTTTGAAATTTTAACTTTCAATTAGTAAATAAAGTTTGTGGATATTGAAAATTGAGGGGTGGAATATAAATCTATTATTAAATAAAATATTTATCATAGGTATCTTTAATACCTTTTTAAGAAATATATGTCTAATTTCTAGGCTAATTACAAAATGTTATAAGATTATTTGTATTTTTTTGCTTTATTGTAAGATGACATTTTCATCATCATCAATATGTTTTAAAAAAATTCCTATGTCCATAATTATTATTTGACTAGAAATTTGAAATAGATAAATATTATGCCACTAAAAATTTGAAAAAAAATAGATAATATTATGCCAAGGAAAACTTGACATCTAAATTAATAAATAAAATAACTTAGTAAATGAATGTAATAAATAAATGTTATTAAATATATATTTAAAAAGAAAGAGAGGAATATATATTAATATTGAAAAATATATCTGGCATCTGCATTTTTTGGCTCCCTGCTGCATACACGCCTGATATAGGCACAACCCTAAATTATATATAATAGTAAATAACTAAAAATATTGGATCGAGTTTTTAAAAAATATTGGCCTAATCCAATTTTTTTTAAAATTGCCAAATATCTGACCTGATACAAACTGAAAAATTGGTGTATTCCTAATAATCAGCTGGATAATTTCATTTAAAATCAGGTGTTCCGATGACCCTTTAAAATAAATGAAGCAAGATACTAATTTATAAATTTTTATAAAATTCAAAATGCCAGCTTAACTAGATTAAAAATATATGTAATATATTTATTGAATGCAAAGATAAATTCATCAATATTATTGTTTCTAATTATATATTATTTATAATTAATTTGTGTAATTTATAAGATTAAACTATAGGAAATAAAGATTAACAGCACGTCTTCTTTCTTTTTAATTGATTTAAAAAAATTTATAGGACTTTTTTATAAATTCACAGCATGTTGAGATTTTTTTTACTTATTGAATGTTAATTATCAATTTTGAGTACTGGCCTCAGGTACTGGTTAAAATTAAAAGTATAGGTGAATAGTGAACTCTAATATTAAAACCCTTTATATAATTGGTATTAAATGTGCTGTATATTTGCAATAATTCTAAATTTGGTTCAATAAACTTATATTTTAAATAAAGAATGTCTAATTTAATATATGTTGCTGGCAATGTGTATAATAAAGAAATGAGTAACATAACTTTATAAAATGTGAAACTAATAGGGATTATATTTTACATCTTCTAATTAATTCAGACTCTTCAAATTTAAAAAACATGAAAAATAAATGAAAGTTCGAAAATAACAAATAAAATAATAAAGTATGTTTGTTTGAATATTGGTGGTTATATATCTCTTTTATAAATTGAAGACAATTTGGATAAGAACTCTTGTCTTGATTTTTTTTAAAATTTATATATGACACTACAAGGATTGATTTGCTTGATTCGACATTAACAGTATAATATTACTATATAAGAAAATAGATTATAGATAATCTATTTAGCTAATCTTTATTTTAAAGTATAAAAGTTATATATGCTTCTTAATTTTCTTTCAAAATAGAAATTGCTTAATTGATCATTTAAAATATATAAAAATTATGTATTCATATAAAAATTTTATATCTTATTTAAATAATCAATCTAAATGTATAAATATATATTTAATATATTTGAAGTAAATCATTAAAGGTGATACAAGAATAATTTTTTTTAAATATTACTATAATAAAGAGAATATTTCATTGACTTTACGAGATGATGTTTCAAGTCAAATATAAACTTTAAATAAATTCAATAAAGAAGGATTACCACTACTACAAGTTTTAAAATCTTAGCGTAAAAAATAAGGTATTATCCGAAAAGTGAGTGACATTTATTATAAATCAATTTAATCTTATCTGAATCTGATAAGCCATCAAGGCCCCTAGAAAATTTGAAGATCCCTTGAAATATGATTTTTTTATACCTAATAAAAAATGGGTCAATTTGAAGAGGTTAGCCTAAAAAGGCCACTTTAAAAATGTTAGCTATAAAAAATGGCGGTTATTTTGAAAATTTATTTTTAAAAGTTATTTTCACCCTCTGAAATTGTAAAGACTGCCCCGCCCCTGCTTAATAATCTCATTATGGTCTTACTAAATAAATGATGTAAATAAAACATAATCCTTCTTGAATATTAATAGCACATTTATGCCTTAATTTTAACATGTCATTGCTTAATTCATACCCATAGCTTCTACATAAACAGGGGGGGGGGGGGGTAAGGACAGTTTGCAAACAATTTATATTGGTAAGGGGGGGGGGATATGGGGTAGGCACCTTTAAGAGTAGAATTGGGGGGGGGGTTATCTTTTAAGTTTTTAGATGAAATAGGACAAAAAATATTGCCGTAAAAATTAATACTATTATATTTCTATTATAATACAATGACATTGCTTTTCAACCAAATATTTATTGCAAACAATCATAGACCTTAATTTTCAAACAAAACTTTCTGCTATCCTTTTTAATTACATTTAAAAGGGTAAAAAATTCACAGCAAACTTATTCATACAGTGGCGTATCCAGGATTTTCCTATAGGAGTGGGGGGGGGGAGGATTGTTGTGAGACGAAGCCCCTTTAACTCTTTTTAATCATATCTTTTAGCGATTCTATTGAATTATTCTATTAAATTATTCATAATTCAATAATAATTTTATTAATATTTTTAGCTTTTATTTACTAATTGGCTCTTATGAATATTTTAAGCAGAAATAATGGTTATAACCCAATTTTTTATTATTTTTAGATTATATTTAATAAAAATTTATTTAAAATATAAAATTGAAATAAAGTTTAGTTTTCTTTTTTTTAAATAAAATTGGCTTTAAAAACTAACCTCCGCTTATATTCTCTTACAATATAAATAGAATAAAAATTTTTAATGAAAATACTAATTGTAGTGTGACTAAAATATATACAAGAAAATAATTTAAAATATCAAAGACTATAAAAAAATTTATTAATCTATATTTGTAATGTGATTTAATTTTCGTGGGAAATTTGACAATTCAACAAGAACAAGAATTTCGTTTGTCGTTGAAACCAAATTCCTGTGGATATTTAACAGAACTAACCCATTTAGTTGATTCGAATTTATTTCATCTACATCCTTTCTTATTTACCTGTTCACATACATTTTCCGCCAAATCATAACCTAAACCAAATCTAAATTTGGTTTTTGTAAATTTATACCAAGTAATGAGCTATAGGAAGATAATTTATTAATGCAACTAGCAGCAAAGATAAACTCTGATTAATATTGCAAAATTTTGAAGAGGGGGGGGGTGTGTTGGGGCAGCGTCTACATGGCAGAAAATTTGATGGATGCAAACCCCTCCAAAATCTACCCATACCCACCTAAAAAAAATCCTGCGGCCTTCGGCCGCGAAATTTACAGATCTACGATGGTATAGTGATTTTATTTAAAAAATCTTATCTGCCACCATTTATAACCTTACAACATAATTCTATTTACAATCTTTCAAGCCTATTTAGGGAAAAAAAATTAAAAATTTGTAGGTGATAATGAACTTTTATTCAAATAATGCAATCTTTTCATAATTTGGTATTCACTTTATTTTCATAAAATATATATAAGTGAATTAAATGAGATAACATATTAATATTTCTATAGAAAAGATCTAAAATATTGTAAAAAATATAAGACGAATAAATTTAAAGAGGTATATTTAGCTTGATTCTACATAATTAAAAACATGTATTGTAAATAGAGCTATTATATAAAATATTAGAATAAAATGAATTATAGTATATTTTGCATTGAAATTATAAAATGTTAAATTAAATATACATTATTTAAAAGCCTATATATTCGCTGTGAAAAAGATACATTAATTATTTTATTAATAATTTGGATAACCTTCTAGATGTTAATGCAAATTGTGTTATAATATAATCAATTGTAAATTTTTCAAAAACATCAATTTCGCTGGATATTAACAGTAAATTTTCCAAAAATGGGTCCGAAATTTTATTCCGCATTCGAGTTTTGTTAATTTTTACTTTACTCATTCGGCTGAAAAGGAAGTTATAAGGGTTAATAAATATTTATATAATAAATTTAAATTAGAATAAGAATTTAATTGATTTAAAAGTCGGTATGGTAATATAAAAGAAAATTTTATCCATTTTTTTATTTTGGTCATGATTTCGCTGTTGATATTTTCTTTGGTAATTTGATCGTTTGCAATACCTTTAATTATATACAATTACAAATAAAATATCAATAAATTACTTTCATCAATATATAACGCGTCATGATCTTCGCAAAAAATGATTGATTGAGACTCCAAATATAAAGAGCGAAAATCATTATATTCATCAACAATGTTTTGGACATCCAATTGATAAGTATGACAAATTTCGGATATTTGCCATCCTTCTATTTTTTCATTATCCATAATTCCAGCGGGAGTAAAAATGGATATCTGTGATAAAAAAATTATTTAAACAATCATAATTAAATCGATCATTTAGATGATTAATTATTGCATTTAGCACAGGGAAAAATATTTCCGTTCTATATCTATAATAATAAATAATAATTTAAATTTTTTTAATTTATTCAACTTGTTTTTTTTTGTTCAACATAATTATTGAATTCTGTTTGATCCAATTTGAATATTGATCATATTATACAAATCAGTTATTACATTATTCTTTTTCAAAAAACTATTAGATAAGGAATGTAATTTTAAAAATATATTGTCTCCATTAACTATATTTTAAAATTATTTATAGAAATAGTAACTAATATTAACCTTTTAGTTTTTGTAATTTATTTTTTGTATGTTGTATTAATTTGGTTACCAAAGCCAAATCATTGCCAACTGCCTCATTTCAATACTCATGTGTACATTTCAATATTTCTTTCAAAATAAATAGACTTAATATAAAATTATCATCTTTAATTCTTGATAATAATCCATCGGCAATGGAAGAGGTTCTTGGGTCATTAGAATCTTTTAATTCAACTAATGATGCTAAATATGTTCATTAACATCTAAAAAAAATTCTACAGATTTGTAGGATGATGACCAATTTCTGAAAATATATAAGTTTCATTAAAAAATTTTATTTACCATGTTGTGTTTTTAATTCCTTTAAGAGATTTCTTGGACTTTCTCATTTGATATTTAACAAACACACCTTGACGACTAACTCCATTCATAAAATTATATAACTCATCTAATATTCCCATTGCCTTTTTCATTTCAATTTTGCATCCACAAACATGGGCAACTACTAAATTTAGCCGATGTGCATGGCACCAAATATAGATGGCTTTTAGAGCCTCTTTCAATATTAAAGCCTGCATTCCTTTGTATACTCCTCTCATATTCCCTGCACCATCCATACTTTGTTCAACCAAATAATCAAGAGGAAGACCAAGATCATTAAACTTAGAAAAAACATGTTTCTTTATATTTTCCCCAGTGGTTTCTGATGTTGTAAAAACATGTATGATCCTTTCTACAGGATGTGGATGCAGATCATCTTCTATATACCGTACAAGCAAAGCTATGCATTCTTTTTTAGACACATCATATGTTCCATCTAATATGATGCTATAGGCACGATTCTCTTTAATTGTTTGAATAATGCTTTTTGCTATTTTTATCTTAACTAGTAGATAGCCCGTCAAAAATGACGAAGAATGAGAATTTTATTCGTTTTTTTAAGAAAGATGTTACCTTTTATTTAAAAATCACATCCAATTTATAAAATTTTTAAACCCCCCCCCCCTCCCCATTTAGGTCAAGTCCAAGCAATGTCATTGAGTCCAACCCATTAGAACTAAGAGTGGAAACTATTATTTGAGTCAAAATATATTTAAATGAGCTTGTACCCAATACCAAAAATCTTTGTAAATATATTACTGGTTACATAAGACTAACATTTAACATTAAAAAATTTCAAGCCAGGTCCAAGCTCATAATATTTGGAAAAAATTTCCAAGCGTTCAAGACCTTATAATTTATAAAAAAAATTCTCAAGCCTAGCTCAATCCATAATAATTTTGAAAATTTTTTCCTAGCCTGGCCCATAATAATTTGTATAAGATATTCCCAGTCAGGTGCAAGCAAATATTAATCTTGAGGAATATTTTTCAAGCCCAGTCCATCCCATATTAAGTTTCAAAACTATTTCCCAAACCCGGAGATAGTTAAATTCCTAAATAATTTATTAACAAATGAAGGGGAAATCTCGGATTTACCAATTAGTGGGTTAACTCCTTTTATCAAAAAATTTGATAAGGGCTATCTATATCTTTTATTAAGTACAAAAAAATGCTATCTATTTAAATTACAAAAATGCCATTCAATACTAATGAAACTTATATGCAATTTATTTATATATTTTTTAAGAAATATGTTTTTCTTGCCATATAAATTTAGGTAATTTTATTAAAAAATGATGAGGATTATTACTCTGTGTGTCTGGTAAAATAAAGAGCAAATCCTTTATGACATTTTAATTTTTGATGGAAAAAGCGACAAATAAAATCTGGGCAGTCGTCTGCAGAAGAAAAAATTAATGTATTATCATCCCATTTAGGGTTGTAGGGGAAAGTAATGAATAATGACGGATTACCAAAGCAGTGTACAACACCCATTGCGTCCTGATAAAGCTGAGGCCCTGGGGGCTACTGGTAAAAGAAGAACGGAAATGATATTTTTGCCAAAGTGTCAATTTTGGTATCCCCCTCTAAAATAGAATCATGAACGACATTGTCAACTCAACCATAAAACGGTCGTAAGTATTATAAAGGCCATGACAAAACTACCGCATATTTTCTCATTAATAATGTTAATGAAATTGGCCGCACTACACATTCACGTTTGAACATCTCTCTAAATATTCATGAAAGTTCCTCAGGGAATCGGATAAAGTATTATTTATAATAACTCCCAATGAGGTGAATGATAGTGGAATTAAATGCTTATATTTGTTAAAAATTAGGCAGAGGTGGCATAGGGATTTTGGTAGTGGTGATAGAAATATCATTTGGAGGCAACTGGGTGTATAAAAACTTGGAGTAGATTTTAAGTTTAAGGATATGTTAGGAACGCCAGTAGCGATCATAGAAGATACTTTCAAAAATTGAGAAGCAAAGGGGTTGTAGGTGTGAACAATATCCTGCAATTCCATTAAAAGACAACGATATAAAAACGGAACCTGGTTATGTCTGTTTTCTATCTCATTTATACTATCATGTATATATAATTGGGCAAATTTAGGTGTTTCCCCTAATGTTGGTAGGAGTGAACCAATGCGATGATGAACCTGTCCATTAATTTGAAAGGTATAATTACCTGATCGCGAATTGGATAAATTATTATTTATAATAACTCCTAGTGAAGTAAATGACAGTGCGGAATTATAAGCTCTTATGTTTGTTAAAAAGTGGGATGATGAACAATGATTCCCGGTAAATAAACGTAATAAATTTGGTGGTAATTGGGAAATTTTAGACAAAAATACCTTCCCATTCAAACAACATGTAGAAAACTGAATATTTATACATGAGCTTTATGATAATTTTTTTCCATTCCACATTTTAGCATTGCAGAAGGCGCATATTTCTGTCATATTTCCGATATCTAATATAGGTGAGTGGTGGTCATCAAATATATGTCGAAATATACATGGTAGAGGTGCCATATGGAATGTGGTAGTGGTTATAGAAATATCAGTTGACGGTATCTGGTTTATTATAAAATAAACCTATATATATAAAACATTAAAAACCTGCAAGGGGGGTTAATATCAGGCGTAGGTCCTTATTATCCTGCATACCTGTAATTCTAGAACGGTTAAGGCGTTTGTTGAGTCGCCATTTTTTTCTTTGCTTATCTTTAATAGAAATATCATGTTTTGTAGCTATGTGAGGGATTAAGTTTGGGTTAACCTAAAAAAAATAAGGAAATGGGGACTTGTCAAGAATCGTGTTTTTCTGAACATTTATTTTGTATTTGTTGATTATTAATGGTAGATATATCAATATTTAAACAATTATAAGGAGGAAATAAAGAAGGGTTTGTTATCTAAAATAAAAACAGAAGAATGATTTAAAAAATATAAATGCATTGAACCTGAAGAGGAGTCAATATAAGGTTCAACTCCCTAGAAATAGTGGAGACATTATCAGAAGCTAAAATAGATGTATTCTATAATATAAAAGAGTATAAAAAAATATATATATATAAGGCTAACTTTATTTTGAGTTGTTAGTAGATTTTGTAGTGCCTCGCTATCCCTAGTGCGTTTCTTTTTTTGATTGATCAGCCATCTTTTTCTTTTATTAATGACGGATAAATCACCACCTGTACAATCATTAACTGAGGTTAGGACATGGCTTGTTATCTAAAATAGAAACAAAAGAATAAATAAAAAAAATAAATGCATTGAACTTGATGAGGAGTCAATATACCACCTGTACAATCATTAAATGAGGGTAAGACAGGGCTTGTTATCAAAAATAAAAACAAAGAATAATATAAATGCAATGAACCTGAAGAGGAGTCAATATTAGGTTCAACTCCCTAGGTGGGGACATTATCAGAAGCTAAAATATATGTATTCTATAATATAAAAGAGTATAAAAAAAATATATATATAAGGCTAACTTTATTTTGAGTTGTTAGTAGATTTTGTAGGGCCTCGCTATCCCTAGTGCATTTCTTTTTTTGATTGATCTGCCATCTTTTTCTTTTACCTGTACAATCATTAACTGAGGTTAACATGGCTTGTTATCTAAAATAGAAACAAAAGAATAAATAAAAAAAATAAATGCATTGAACTTGATGAGGAGTCAATATACAACCTGTACAATCATTAAATGAGGGTAAGACAGGGCTTGTTATCTAAAATAAAAACAAAGAATAATATAAAGAATATAAATGCAATGAACCTGAAGAGGAGTCAATATTAGGTTCAACTCCCTAGAAATAGTTGGGACATTATCAGAAGCTAAAATAGATGTATTCTATAATATAAAAGAGTATAAAAAAAATATATATATAAGGCTAACTTTATTTTGAGTTGTTAGTATATTTTGTAGGGCCTCGCTATCCCTAGTGCGTTTCTTTTTTTGATTGATCTGCCATCTTTTTCTTTTATTAATGACGGATAAATCACCACCTGTACAATCATTAAATGAGGTTAGGACATGGCTTGTTACCTAAAATAAAAACAAAAGAATAAATAAAAAAAATAAATGCATTGAACCTGATGAGGAGTCAATATACCACCTGTACAATCATTAAGTGAGGTTGGGACATGGTTTGTTATCTAAAATAAAAACAAACGAATAAATAAAAAATATATTAATGTATTAAACCTGAAGAGGAGTCAATATTAGGTTAACCTCTCTAGAAATAGTGGGAATATCATCCATCATAAGCTAAGTATTCTAAAATGAAAAGTATAAGCCTTTTTAGTATATATAGATGAATAACTTTATTTTGCATTTGGTAGATTTTATTGGGCTTCATGTCTAAAAATATTTTCTATAAAAAAAATAAAATCAATAAAAAAATAAAAATAAGTACGTACCGATGACATGACGTAGCGATGACATGACGTCACAATGACGTAGTGAGGACATCGGAAAATTATAATATAGATAATTTCAGTTATTTTTTTCACGTGGCCATATGACAGTAAATTTATATAGGTCTCGAAATTTTATCTGATTTTTTTCTCTGCCATTTTTCGTTGTTATCCATGAATGCACGAAAAGTTGGAACCGTTTTTGCCATTAATTTTATGAGACACATAAAATTACCTTCATTTGAATTAGAACCCCAAAAGGCTATATTGCATTTTATAAGGTACATAATGGCATCGATAATATTATGAACTATATTACGATTTTCCATGATTATATCAAGCTTATTTGATAGCAAATAATCTTGTATGCGTTTATTTGCAAGCCAAGTCATATTTGCATATTCACAATCTTTATGAAGAGAAGATGCTTCGTGTCTCTCTAAGTCACGTTTTATGTTTTTCCAATTATTTAACCCAAGTTGAGTCCAAAAAGTATTGGACTTAGGGTCACCAAACATAATACAATATAGACAAAAGACTTTGTCAAAAGTAGTGCTATAAGATAGCCAATTTCTGGGGTTGAGGGGGCCGTCTATATTAACCTTTCTATAATAGGTTATATTCATGCTCCTATTTAAAAAGTAAAAAAAATAAATATTGGTATAGAAATAATGGATGGGTAAAAATTAATGAAAATAAATATTATTTAAAACCTCTTGTTAGTAACAGGATATTGAAATTTATTTGTACATGGCTGACAAGGGCCTACAGTAATTATGAAATTTATCAAAATATTTGTCATCCTAAATAATATAAAGTGAAAAGGGTCATTTGGTTCCTTATTTTTGTATAGCTGAATAAGACTTGGACTTTGAATATCCTCATAATTTATTCCCTTCAAAAGTTATATAAATTTTATTTAAATATAATACCTCATGCAAAGTAAGTGCCTCACTAGAACCGGGGATTGGATGAGGAGATAATACAATTTGGGAATATTGGAGATTTGCTATAAATAAAGAGTATAATTTGTTTACTTATGAAAAACTATTTTTAATATAATTTCAGCCAAATGGTCATTTTATTCTTAGCTACATTATAATTAAGTTAATCAATAAATGTTGGAAATATTCAAATGTCCTAATTTATTTTCTTCAAAAGTTATCATATAATTCGTATTTAAATTAAATACCTCATCATGCAAAGTAAGCACCTCACAGGAACTGGGGATTGGATGAGGAGATAATACAATTTGTGAATATTCAATAACTGAGATTTTCTATAAACAAAGAGTAGTTTAATTTCTTTCCTTATAAAAACTATATTTTTAATAAAATTTTAGCCAAATGGTAATTTTTTTCTTTTATAATTAAGTTTTTAATAAATGTTGGAAATATTTGAATAACCTCATAATCATAATTTATTTTCTTCAAAAGTTATCATATAATTCGTATTTAAATTAAATACTTTATCATGCAAAGTAAGCGTCTCATTGGAACTGGGGATTGGATGAGAAAATAATACAGTTTGTGAATCTTCAATATTGGGATTTGCTATAAATAAAGAGTATAATTTGTTTACTTATGAAAAATTATATTTTTAATAAAATTTTAGTCAAATGGTCATTTTATTCTTAACTACATTATAATTAAGTTTATAATAAAGGTTGGAAATATTTAATCAACCTCATATTCATAATTTATTTCTTTCAAAAGTTATCATATAATTCGTATTTAAATTAAATACCCCATCATGCAAAGTAAGCACCTCACTGGAACTGGGGATTGGATGAGGAGATAATACAATTTGTGAATCTTCAATAACTGAGATTTTCTATAAATAAAGAGGAGTTTAATTTCTTTCCTTATGAAAACTATATTTTTAATAAATTTTTAGGCAAATGATAATTTTTTTTAACTACATTATAATTAAGTTTTTAATAAATGTTTTAATCCTACAAGAATACATGATTGAGAAAACAAGTATTAAAAATATTATGAAGTCCAACATAAAGTTATCAGGTTACAATGGCAAGATGATACTACAAAGGGAATTCACATATTTTGAACCCGATAATCATAAACATCAATATGTCTTTGTAGATCATGTAAAAACATTTTTAAAATATACTTGAAAGATTCATAGGCATGATAGATGCAGATTAATATAAAACTGTGATCACATGAAGAAATCATAAAACAATATTATAATGACTGTAAAAATAAAAACAATTTTAAGTATAAATAAAATTGTGAAATTCATGATGAAAGTATATTATCTAAAGAAATTCTAATAGCTAAATAAAACAATGATAATATTATAAACATACCTAATATAACACATAATGTAAATAAAGGGGATGAAATTCACACAGATAACATTTTGAGTTGAATCCAAATCATATTTTATAAAAAAAAGTAAAAGAACTTTGAAGTCTTAATTCAATTAAAGATGAAAAGATTTAAATTTAAAAATTCCTAGAAATTAGCATTACCTTACTTTTATTATTTTACTACATTATATTAACTTAATAAGTTTTTTTTAATACTTTGGTTTTAAATTATTATTATTAACTAATTAAACATATTGTTAAATTG